GTACAATATAGGTAACTGTTGTGTTTTACGATGCTCAAATCAAACATCGACATGTGCACAGTGCAGCGTGTTTCTAGAGACCAGTGACCGCCGACTTCCGTAGTGAGGGGATTCGGCGACAGAGCCCAGCCAAATGCCTGCAGTCGCTACATGCTCACTAGTAATTTTTACTTCCCTTCCGCCGTGGTCTGTAGACAACTCGCGAACGAGTGTAGTCTGAAGGATTCATGGGCGAGAGTCGGCGAAATTGCGTGTGCCTCTCACAGTAACGGTCCTGTCAGACCGACCACTCAGGGTCAGTGGTAGCTTTCGTCATCGCTTCAGGTCAGCGTTGAGCGTCTGTTGCAGCTTCCTCTTCAGAGAGATGTTTGATGTTTGAGCTTTCTGACCCGTGCCGCCCGTTTTTGTCCCGGTTCAGCCCTTTTGTAAATAGAATCGGTGGTGTTGATGCTTTCATATGAAGGTAAAACTAGGCACGTCTGCATATTTAGTGCACTTTGACAAAACTGCTCCTGCAAATACATTTGTAGAAGGTATTGACAAACCGTATTCCGCGGATAATCGAATTTTCTTCTTTCGGTGCAGCAGTTAGCGCCGTCCTTTCACATTGGGTCAGATTTTCAAGTAATAATCAGCAACTAATAACTGCGCGGAGACGCGAAAACAAACAACACATACGAGGACATTTAAGGCGCAAAGGTCGAACGCTATATAAGATTAGCACTACATTTCTTGCCCCTTAAGGTTATGCGAGGCCGATGTTTACGATCACGTTAAACTCGCTACACGTTTATCATTTAGATAATAGGCATTTAGGCGTTGTCTCATAACATATCAAAACCGCTTTGAAACCAGTTGCGGGAAAAAGACGACATTGAACGCTTGCTTTGGCCGGTGGCGACATCTAGAAACAGCGTGCACTGACTCGGTGTCTTGCCGGCTGACACTGGCTTCCAAAGACGAGCCGACCATCCAGTTGATTCGGCATCACCTTGTTGCTTGAATCGCTTGATTGAAGCATGACAGAAATGAGCCGATTCCTGTTAGTGCTGGCGGGCTGTTCGGGCCCTCTGTTAGCATTATCCGACGATTTATGCGTATCACGTCATAAGCTGTAAGTCTTGGGTCATTATACTCTGGATGAGTTGATCGGATGGTTTTACCAATTCTTTCGCTGTTTTGCTCTTGTGCCACAAGTAAGAGTCGCAGCAAAAATGTGATTGGCGCGGTATCTCGCAAATTCAAAGCACTGCTCTTTGCCCGTTGCTCCAACACTTCACAGTCTGGTCGCCAACTGACCACGGCTGCGCATTTCCCTTTGTTGGAGAACGACTGCGTTATGTCTTCGACGCGACGGTCGGTGTCCCACATTCGCTCCCCTTGACCATTTTGCCATTTTGCGGAACGTGGCTAAAGACGGGCGTCGCGAGGCGACCCCATGCCCACTTCCCAAGCACCGTGGCGGCATCGGTACGCGAATGGGATGCTTCTGCTCACATTTTCTGCCCTATGAAGCCATCGAACAGCTTTGCTAATGTACCTAAACAAAACGCAAGCAAAAACAATTTATTGATGTTTGGCCCGGAATATGCCTTTGGCATTAGCCTCCGGTTATGCAGTCGTACTAAATTTATTGCCAAGAGTCAAGTATAGAATCGACTGGCGTTGGCCGCATGTCGATATCTCTTTTCAGTTAAGAGATATGTGAATATAGCGTTCTAAGCGCCACTTATGCGCACATTTGTGGGTCTGCATTGCAAGCTCATCGATGTATAGTTGAATGGGTTATGAATCGTTCCACTACAAGTTATGGGCCATCAAAGAAGAGTGCAGCAAAACCTCTTAAAACTGCCCTAGGCTCTACCTCAGCGACCGTTACTCGGATAGTCTTAAGATTTGCGCAGACGTCTTCAGGGTATCAGATAGCAGTTCAGAAGACCACCTGCACTATTCTGAAACCTGAGGGTGTGCGGCCGTGGTTGCATTGCCCTGGAATCCCCCAGGTACCAAGTGAATTCAGTGATAGTGAATTATCATGACCACTATGAGAGACTTTACATATGACAGATGTCATCAACATCTCGTGCCAGTGTCTCTGGTGAAAAATAAAAGGAACACTGTTTTTAATATTCTATCTTCTCCTTCTTCAAAATGTGCCATATACAGGATTTTGTCCAACAGACGCTTAAATCGTGTGATTACACAGCGTCCACGTTCGAAAGATGTTTGTAATGGACTGGGCATGCCACGGATGACAGCCTTTTCTTGGTCGTACATTCTTAAGTACAATATATATATATATATATATATATATACATATATACACATATAAATGTGTATTTATATTGGTATGTATATATTAAAATTAGCTGCAAAAACTGTCAGTGTCATTCTCAGAATGGCTCAGAAGTTTTCAAGGACACAACTGGGTCCAGTATCCCAACTAGCTTTTCAAATTCACCTGTTAGAAATGTTGGCAAAGTGCTCAGATTGGTGTCAAAGATATTCAACATGAAATCGAGATTTCAGATCCCAGACAGCTGTGGCTTTTTACGTGCGTCCTCTGAGGCCCCTGGCTGCTGGGGTTTAAGGTGCACCTGACCTTTGTCCGAGCTGGCAGATCTGAAGACATGTGCGTCAGTGGTACGCGGGCTCCCGCCCTGCACGTTACTGTCGCGTTCATTGCTGTCTCTGTTTCAGAATCATCCATCCACCAGTGACTTGGGCGCAAAGAAACAATCTTATCTTCCTTACGATAAATGTGGAAGATGTCAAGGACGCAGATATCAAGGTGGAAGAAAGCCGTTTGCACTTCAAGGGAACAGGGGGTTCTGACAAGAAGACCTATGAAGCGGACATGGAGTTTTATGGATCAATAGACTCTGAAGTAAGTTACAACGCTGTTGGCGTCATGGTGATCTCAGCCTTAGTTGTGACTGGTAAGAACGTCTTTGCATCGTGTTTAACTGAAAAACCAGAGAAGGTGTTGTTTATTGTTTCATAGCTATATAGTAGCTCTTTTACACGCTTTTATTCGGAGAAGGCGTTCTATTAGGCATTACATTATTGAAGCTGTAGCTCATTGATAATCTTTGTCTGCTGCTTAAAACAAAGTCTGAAGAAACGGGCAACGTTAGCGATCTTTTGCCATCTGCAATTTAGCAATATAACAGTATAACATGTTTTTATGATCTGGTGTGGTATTTACCATACTTAATCCCAGTGACTTTTTTCCCGTGGTCCGAAACGGGGCAAATAACTGTTGTGTTTTCATATTTTGAAGTTAATTTTCGGACTAGTTTCAATCATTTCTTTCACACTGCTTCATCGCTATTCGATTTCACCAAAATACTTTGCTTGCCGGATTCTTTGCACTGCGTGGTATCTGTCCTGTTTCGTTATCCGGTATTTGCGTTTGGATATACATTGCAGTCAGCTGCGTTATCGGTATTTGCAGCCGTTCCAATTTGTTGCTTGTTCCAGGCAGCCCGGTATCTAGTGATAAGCTTTTATTTCTGCTTTGCTATCTGCCGCTGCTTCGGTCTGGGGTCGCCATTTGGGCTTATTTTGTGAGCAGGTATTGCTTCACGAAATCGTCCCAGTGTGGACAAAGCCAAACTCGAACTGTCCGGGAAATATCCCTACCTCACAACCTGTCCGGAATACTCGTGCCACAACACTCGGAGCGTCGCACCGGGCAGTCATCAAAGTTCGGTGTGCCATCGGCCTAGGAATTTTCAACTTTTGATATAAAGCCGCCCGCCTCTGTTCTCTGCGAAGACAAGCCGTCGTGTTATGGTTCAGGTTTCGAGGGGTTTCGCACGGTTTGTTGCAATTCGCAGTATTTGGAGGAGATATTACATTTGGCACATCAGCAAAGTTTGGCTACGTACGTGGCTGGCAGTGATGTAAATGTAAGAGCCGACACCGAGCGTTCAGTAGTGTTTGTTGAGTGGTGCGATGCGCACCGGATGTTGGTCGAGCGCCCGAGTCGTCACC